GCCGCCACGCGCCGCCCCCGCCGCGGGAGCAGCACCCCCCTTCCTTTGGCCCCGCGCCGCCCCTGGAGCCCGGCCGCGCGCGCTCCCGCGGCCGCGGCTGGCGGTTGGAGGGAGCAAACACGCGTCCGACACTCCCCCCCGCCCTCCGGGGTTCCCCGCTCCTTCACTCAGGGAGCGGCCATAGGAGCCAGGAGAAGTGAGGAGGAGCGCGGAAGCCGGCGTGAGGCCGGGCGAGGGGGAGGAGAAGTGAAGCGCGCGCCCTGCGCTCTGCACGCTCCACCTCCAAGCCCGCAAGATGGCGGCAGCCGAGCCACCCACTTCCCCTCCCCCGGAGACCACGTGACTCCGAGGGCCTCTGCGCGGGTGGGCGGGGCGAAAAGAGGGATTAGCGAGAGAGGACCCCCGAATTCCGGGGATTCTCGAGGCTGAGGGGATGCCTCGTATTTAGAAGAGTTTTCGCTTTATCTCTGCCCCTTAACCCTGTTAATTTATGACGGAACAATAAATGGCTGTAGAGGGCGGGACTATAAACGACCCCAAAACATTAGCTATATAGGAAGTTACGCACCTTGCCAAGGCGGGGACGGGATCTGGGGAGAGCCTCGTCCTCCACTGGGGCCCCAGCCTCCAAGGAAGCAGCACGACCACCATCAGTGGTCTAGAGGTTGAGATTGAGAATGGGAAAGTGAGGGGTGGGAGTGGGGGACAAGAATCAAACCCAAAACACGTCAGTAAATTTTCGAGAGGTCTTTTTCTTTCTTTTCTTTTTAAAAGATGACGGGTAAGGGGACTTCAACACTTGGCTTGGTGTTGTCAGCACCACCCTCAGCCATTGAGCCAACCGGCCATCCCTATATAGGATCCGAACCCGTGGCCTTGGTGTTATCAGCACCGCACTCTCCCAAGTGAGCCACAGGCGGAGAGGTCTTTTTCCCGACCAAGTACCTGTGATCATGGTCAAGATCACTCACCACCAGTGGCCCACGTGGTGACAGACAGGAGGCCTAATGAGTTTTCTGTGAACAAGTCAGGCCCTCCTCCCCTCGTCCACCCCCAATCTGTGACCAGAATTTTCCTAGCTGCCACCTCAGGACTCTGCACCCTAAATACAAAAGTCCAGAAAAGAGCACACAAAAGTACAATTGGCTTTATTGCAATTCTAGAATCAGGCAACACATTATTCCATAAAATAGAATGTGTTCTAAGTGAGCTGAGCAGGGACACTTTGAGTTTATAGGCAGAAAAAGGCTGAAGAAGGCAGAAACAAAGAAAAATCAGATTGGGCATTTCAAAGTTACTTTCTTTGTAAGGTGGGGACAGGGAGACAACAATATGAAAGTAACTGATTAGTTAAATCAGGTTACTTCAGGCTACCTCTTTTTTTTTTTTTTCTTAAATAATTTTATTTATGGGGCCGGCCCGTGGCTCACTTGGGTGAGTGTGGTTCTGATAACGCCAAGGCCACGGGTTCGGATCCCATATAGGGATGGCCAGTTGGCTCACTGGATGAGCATGGTGCTGACAACACCAAGTCAAGGGTTAAGATCCCCTTACTGTTCATCTTAAAAAAAAAAAATTAAATAAATAAATAAATAATTTTATTTATTGAATCAAAATCAGTTATACAGGGCCAACCCTGTGGCTCACTCGGGAGAGTGCAGCACTGGGAGCGCAGCAGCGCTCCCGCCGCGGGGTCGGATCCTATATAGGGATGGCCGGTGAGCTCACTGGCTGAGCGCAGTGTGGGCAACACCAAGCCAAGGGTTGCGATCCCCTTACCGGTCAGAAAAAAAAAAAATCGATTATACATATTTTGGGGGTTGAACATTGAGTTATGTTGATTAAATCAGTATTACTAGCATATATATTGTTACAAATCATAATTATTCTTTATGCCCCTTGTCCAACCTCTCCCCTTCCCACATTCCCTCCACCTCCACTGTCTTATTGCCTAGATTTCTTCTCTCCTTCTGAAAGAATAGTGGTTATTCTGTTAACTTGTTACCTAGATGATCTGTCCAATGCTGAGAGATGTGATCAGGTCCCCCAATATTATCATAGAGCAGATGCTTCTTCTGTCACTCTGAAATGGGTTTTGTGAAAAGAGACATCCTCTTCTTTTCCTTGTCTCTGCTGGTGACTCTTCTTATGTGAATGCACTCCAGTGATTGGCAGACCATCTGCGTGGTGGCTGTGCTGTCTAGCCACTTTTGCAGCAGCCATGGTTATTGTGGTGACTGTGGTGGGCCACCCATGTGGGGGTGCTGTTTTGGCATGCTCCTTGGCACTGGCGGTATGCCTGGTTGTAGGGTGTGTTTCATCCCCTTCTCCTTGCCTTGGGTCCCCTGGCAGGCCCCAAGGTGCTGGCATGTTGTGCCTGGCTGTGGGACGGTGGTCCGGTCCCTGGCTCCACACCCTGGGTCCCTTGGTGGGCCCCAAAGCACTGGCTCAGTGTGCCTGGTTGTGGGAGGGTGGGCTGGTCCCCTTCTCCATGCCCTGGGTCCCTGGGTGGGGCCCAAGGTGCTGGCGTGGTATGCCTGGTTGTGGGAGAGAGGTCCAGTCCTGTTCTCCATGCCATGGCTTCCTGGGTGGGTTCCGAGGTGCTGGCATGTTGTGCCTGGTCGTGGGAGAGAGGTCCAGTCCCCAACTCCATACCCCGGGTCCCTGGGTGGGCCCCAACGTGCTGGCTCAGTGTGCCTGGTTGTGGGAGAGAGGACTGTTCCCCTTCTCCTTACCTCAGGTCCCCAGGCAAGCCCTAAGGTGCTGGCTTGGTGTGCCTGGTTGTGGGAGGGGCATCCAGTCCTCTTCTCCATGCTTCAGTTCCCCAGGCTGGCCCCGAGGCACTGGTGCAGTTTGCCTGGAAGTGGGATTGGGGGTCCAGTCCCCAGATCCAAGCCTCCAGTTCCCAGACAGGCCCCAACGTGCTGGTGGTATGCCTGGCCCGGAACTAATTTTTGTCCTTTGCTTCTAACATGGGGGAACTTCCTGTGGGAACCAGTACTTGAGCTGTGTGGTTGTTTAAATTGCTACTTTGCTGCTGTTTCCCTAGGGAAGGCTTTTTGTGCAGCTCAGGGTTTAATGGTTGACCTTATTGGTACTTCTGGCTCTCCAGATACTCGGTGGATCTATGTTCTGTAGAATCTCTGATCTGGGCCTGAGTTTTTTCATCAAACTGCACCCTGTGCAATTCTGTATTCCCGACCAGTCTCCTCTGAGTGGTCCTGTGCTGATTGGGGGGCAGATCAGCTGTCCTTGCCGTGCCCCAGTGATCCCCTGGTGGGCCTGTCTCCCCCACCGCCCATGCTCCAAACACTTCCCATGTGACGGGCCCTTCACTGGTCCCTTGCGATGACTCACCGGTCTCTGAATGGCTCCCTTTTTTCAGTTGTTCTGGCTCCTCGCTCCTGTGTGGGTCCATGGGAACCCTATTAGTGCTCTTGCTGTCTTGGGGGCTCCCAAGGCCCTCTTCTCTCCTCCCACCTCCAAGTAACTGCATCCGAAGGGCACAGCCGCGGCTTCTGCCGGCTCCTGCTCTATGTGCTCATCAGCTCGAGCCTTAAAGCAGCCACGGCCAGAACTGCTCAAAGCAGCTTTTTCTTTCGCTCATCGTAGTTTCTCTGGCCTTCATGAATTCCATAGGTCTCTCCTCCCCTTCCCCTGAGCTCCAGCGGCCCTGGCTTGGCTGATGTTACATTTTTATAGTTGTAAATTGGTTGATTTGTGGGAGAGAGTGACGCTTTGGACCGTCTATTCCGCCATCTTGATTGGATCTCCCAGGCTCTCTCTTTTATATAAGAATTAAAGCAGAGGGAATTTCATTATCATACCTGTTGAAGAGCAAAACTGGCCTGTTTGGGAAATTGGCTATCTCTCCTGACTTCTCAGGTCAGACCACAACCTAAGTGACATGGAACTTAGCAGGGGTGACTCTGTTTTGATTTTTAGTCTGGTCTGTTGGGGCCTAGTGCAGGGACTTAGTCCAAAACAATGGGCTCTGCCAATTTTTATTTAACACATCATAGCTCAGTAAAAATCAACTGTAATATTTTTACTAGTGGATTTTTCTCACACTCAGCTTACTTCATATAAATCCACAAAAATTATTTTAATGAAAAAACAAAAATTTGCCAAAAGTCTATGCCCTGTCCTTATTAGCCTATATATGGGTTTTGGTTATCCACAATTTTGGTGATATCTGAGTAAATGTGAATCAGTGTGTATGGATACTTAGAATCAATGCACTTTACATTTTGTTATACTCTGTATCAAACTTTTCCTCTTCAATCCTGATTGTGATAGTGAAAATGTCTAGTCTAGGATAACAATCAACGTTTTTAACTTCAGCCAAGCTAAATGTTCTCCCTTTCCCCCAGCTTTCACCTGCTTCAAACTTGAAGCTTGCTGTGATGAAGAGAGGTGTGGTAGGCTTCTCTACATCCCTGCATATCACTCATCAGGGTTTACTCCTCCTCTCCCACCTGCTAGCTGCTATTTCTGACTCTCTTGCCCCCAAGGTTTGGCACAGGAGGAGAAAGGATTAGAGGGAAAGAGCACAGACTTTCCTGGTTGGTGTAGGATGCTGTTATCTTCCAAAATTGGTTCTCTATGGACATGAAGGACTCACAAATGTTGGCTCTTCTTTCTTATGTCACCTTTGTGGGCTTTTTAAGGACTCTTTTGCTGGGACCTAGGTGATGCTCATCCTCTGGTTGACTGCCTATGACTCCACTCCCCAACTCTTTGGCCTTTTGGAGGCTCGCCCCATGTAAAACTCACTCCCCTGGGGGCCCCTTTCCTCTCTGGGCATCCCTCATGGGAAGGATCCCTCTTAAATGACTCCAAGTTGGTTACCTTCTAGGTACACTTGGCTCACAGGATAACTCATGCATATTTGCCCTGATGGCAAGGGCAGTGCAGCTCACTCCCCATGTCTCCCACCTTACTCACCATCCCAGCACAGCTAGTCAGCCAACATCTTGCTTTTGGACTTCACCCAAGTGGGAGTTAAGATATCAGTTCCTGTGGACCTCTAAACCCCAGGAGACACAAGCCAGACATTCTGAGAGGTTATAGTGGAGGCCTTTGTCTCATTTGGCTTTAGGCAGAGGAAAAGACCCCTCTCCCTCCCAGAGTGGCACGAGAGGAAATATAGAGCCCACAGGCAACTCTCCAATACAATCGTCATTCTCTTATATAGACAGAATGTGTATAATTAGTAATGCTAGTTAGTAATGCTAGTTCAGTCTCTTACCATCTCCCTTTAAGATAGTGGAAGGGGAGTATCTCGCATCTATTGTGATGCCTTTGCTGAAACTCCAAAGACAATAGGAAGAACCTAATGACATCTGGTCTCAACTGTTGTCTGTCATCAATTCAAGAAATTCTTATTCGGGCCGGCCCGGTGGCGCACTGGAGAGTGCGCTGCTTGGGAGTGCTGTGGTGCTCCCGCCGAGGGTTCGGATCCCATGTGGAGACTGGTTCCCGCTCACTGGCTGAGCGTGGTGCGGGCGCAACACCGAGGGTTGCGATCCCGTTACCGGTCAGTAAAAAAGACAAAAAGGAAAAAAAAAAGAAAAAAAGAAATTCTTATTCACTTCTGATAAAAATAAAGGGCCGGCCGGGTGGCGCACTGCTACAGTGCGCCGCTTGGGAGCGCGG